CAGATGATAGTAGTAGGAGGATATCTTTTGATGCCAATTGTGTAAACGAGGCTTCTTGTGCCTCTTGTGATCTCACTGCCTCCGATTCGGATAGTGTGTTGTCTGGGAGCACTAATTCTGGAATGCAGGAATGTGGAGGAAATGTGATTCCCAAAGGGAGGAGTGGTTCTGTTAGTGTTCTCGCGTCTGCGAGGTTTTGGCAAGAAACGAACAGCCGGTTAAGGCTGTTGCAGGATCCAGGTTCACCTTTGTCTACGAGCTAGAATTGGAGCTATGCTTTCTCCGAGGACAATAGCTTTTCCTATTAAGGGAGGCACAAGGCCAGCTTCTCCTAGCAAGCTTTGAACATCTTCGGCTTCCTCTCCGTTGAGGGGGTTAAGTCCTGCTCGGGTGAGAAACACAGTTGTTGGTCAGATGATTGGTGGTTCTGTTAATACCCCTTCGATTCTTAGGTTTTTGGTTGATATTCGTAGAGGAAAGGTAGGGGAGGATCGAATTGTCAATGCACACACTTGCAATGGAGATTTGCAAATGCAAGGGCAGAGGCTGTTTTCATGGTGCAGGAACTCCATGTGGAGGTATGGTTATCCTCTTTGTCGATCTCATTGTTCCTAAGTAATTCAATGGTCTTGATCTGTGATATTTAGTGACTGTTTTGATTTACTACACCGGAATAGTTTCTCAATGTGCTACATTGGTAAATTTATGTACTTTAGGTTCGATTTCATTTAGTTATCCCGGGCTACGAAGAACAAAAATATATAGGTTTTTGGTTATCAAGAGTTTGATGCAATAATCTGTTTGTCATAAGAAAGGAACTAAAGCAAGAACGTGAGTTTAGGCTTAACATGATGCCCTCTGATAAGTACGGCATTTTCATGACAAATGCTCCTTTTTATTTGTAGCAGAAAGATCTGTGGAATGCATGGGTAACATCGGAATTGCAGTATTCCGTAACTCTCAAGAGAATCAAGTTGCTATTGCAGAGGAAAAAATTGAAATTGACTTCCATCCTGAAGGGACAAGTAAGATTTGGAACTTAATATTTGTGAAGTATTTAATCGAATCCATGTAGATATTTCCATAGACAATTGCCTCAGCCTTCAGTCTACCGAACTGTTCGTACTTCCATCTTAGAAACATGATTTAGAAGCCGTCACCATCCACGTTCTTCAGGCGTGGTTACCGAATACTGGTTGGTCTTAATCAATATGGATAAATAGAGACTCTTCCTTGATTCCGCATTTACTCTTGTTATTTCTTACTGCATGCTTTTTAGATACGAAAGCCTCGCGTTTTAGCTTGAATTTTCTATTCTTTGTGACTAAAATATGTTATGATCGATACGAGTGTAGATATCTCATTTAGAAGCATGGGCACTCCTCGATGGAGACCACATCAGTTCTTTGCTAGGAGCAACTGAAGCTTTAAAGGCCAGTACTCTTGGTCTTCCAATTGTTGGACAAGCCATAGTAAGTTTCTTCTTGTTCTCTTGTTTCCCCTGCTTTTCGACATACAATCTGTTAATGATTTAGCTCCACAAGTATCGTTCCTTTTAAAACGTTGCTCATGTTTCTCTTCCCTTTCTCTGTTTTCTCTCTTAATAGGTAGATATCCAGAATCTGAAGGATGCTGTTAGTTCAGCTGTCAACGTGATGCACGCAATGGCATCCTCAATATGCTCACTATCATCAAAGGTAAAATCCGTCAGAAAATCTTGTAGACATTTGTGTTACTTAAAAGAGAGAAAAAAAAATCATTCGACTCTTTCCGGTGCTAATTACTTGCAGGTGAAGGAAATGAATTCTTTGGTCAATGAACTTGTGAGTGTGGCTGCAAACGAAAGGGTTTTGCTCAAACAATGTAATGATCATTTATCCATCATAGCTGCCAATCAGGTAAAATTTGGCGTTCAGTTTATTGTTCCAAACCATTATCTGCTTCATCTACTCATGTGGCTTATTGTTTAAAGACTGTTATTTCCGATTAGGTTAACGACTGTAGCTTGAGGTCGCATATACTACAACTAAATCGTGTTCCTGCTACCGGCTGCCTGACAACACGTGTGTAGAACTGATCTTTCTTTGACTACTCACCCTAAATGCTAACAAACATTACCACCGAAACTCGTGTTTTTCCGATGGGCGGAGGCGGCACTGGACAAATATACAAGCGGATTGAATATGGCTAAGGTTTGGATTCTCATTTTAGCCAGTTGTTTGCTTTTATGATCAATCATGTAATTTTTTATATCTGAAGGTAAAGAAAGCATTGTGTATGTATATATACGTGTGTGTAAGTTGGTCTGATAACCAAATTGTCATTGTATTTCTTGGTTCTGCTTTGATTAATCATCTATGTATGATCACGTTGATGCTAGCTGTTCAATCATAAACAGATTCCCATTTCCAATTTTCTTCAAATTCATTGAAGATGTGTAATTATTATTGTAATACTTAATTTTTGTCCGGCCTACCCTTTTCTAAGGCTCAAAATATTTTATTGAAATCGATTTTGAAGTTTTGGACATTAGTCGACTTGAAACAAATTTCAAGCAAAATCCAAACATTTTCAGGACGGGATGTCTTTGATATAGAACTGGCTTTCAGTTAAACGTATTTTGAAACTCCTCAATAGGATATTAGAAACTCAAGAAATGCTCATTTTAATGAAGACAATGTGTGCATAAAATTTTATACGGGTTCAATACGAAATTTTAAATTATTCCATATTTTTAACTATTTTATTAATTATTTGTGAATACTTTTCATTATTTATTTAGGATATTTTCATTATGTTAAAAAATTCTAAGGTTTTTTGCTTTTTAGGGTTTTTGGAAGCCTATAAGTAGGCATTCTTATTTTGTATTGAGTGGACATTGTAACCTATTTCTTGACCAGGTAATTCTGTTATTTATTTATTTTTCTAAATTCATCTTGTCTTTGTTTTCTTTTTCTTTTTTTTTTAAAAAATTGTTAGAGGAGAAAAAATCGATGAACAAGTAATAAAGACTTTTAAATAATCTTCATTGATTTAGTTTTATTTGAGGTTTCTCGATGAATATCAATGGTGGATCTTAAATGATTTTTTCTTTCCTGTTAACTTCATTAATTCATTTTAATCAAATGTTCGATTTTTTAGTTTTATATTCGATTAAATGACTCGATCCGTATTCCTTAGAGGATTCTCCCTCTTTAAATGGGTAGGAGATAATTCTTATCATAGCCCCTCCATTATTTTTAAAAAGTTTATTTTATTTTGATTTAATTTAACCTTTTAATTTATGCTAATTTATTTGTTTTAATCCATTCTTCTTTTTTACTTTGACTTTTTTTGGTTTCTTTTTAACTTATTTGATATTTTTCATGTTTGACCGAACATATGGTATATTTCATTTAATTTGATTCCATATTTTTCCTTTGATTTGATTTTCATAATTTATCTTTTTACATAATTTTTTCTTTTTTAATTTTTAATTGGTTTGGAGGCACACACACCATTTTTTTATTTCAATGTAATAGATTTTTTAAATAATCGTTTTATTTATTTATTTTTTATTTTTTATATGTATTTCTTTTTCATATTTATTGCATACTTTTTAGATTTTGTGTATTTATATTTATTTCATTTCAATAGAAATTCCATATATATATATATATATTGGTACACGTGACCCCTTTTGTCTTATTTGTGCGGATTAAACACAATTTCTTTTTATTTTTATTTTTATAACTTTGATTTATTTTAATTTGTAGTAGCAAAGTTTAAAAGGTAAGTAATTCGTATCAATATTTAAATTTTCACCTAAAATTCAATTTTCACAATTAAGATAATTGACTAATCGTGTTGATACCGAAAGAGCATTACGAGGGTATTCATTATTCCTCAATTATAACCGACTCTCGAATAGGATATTTCTATGATAAGATGCAGATTTGATAAAATGGTAAGTTTTAAGATGTTTGATCTACCTAATTCAAAAACGATCGATGACGGTTCTATCACATCAATTCCAAATTGAGACACAAACCCGAAATCACCCAAAAGACCATTCCTACAATTACCACAAACCGAGTACATTGTGCACATTTCGAATTGAATGATACGAACAATCTTGTTCAACTCATTAATTGGGTTATAGTATAACACCTCCACAACAACAGATAAATCAAGGTTATTTTACCTCTGGAGATATGTTTTCAGAAATCTCTTAGCCCACCAGAGTTTTTGACTAACTTACATCATTTAACGCATATAAAATATCTCTAACAAGTTTACATAATGCGTCACGATAAAATTTAAAGTCTAACCATTAAATCTTTTTAGTCTGATTAGCGTACAGATGAACTGCCCATAATCGATCGACTCTACTCCCTCGTGATATTATATTCTCTACTTCATTCAAACACCAATCAACAATTATTCTAGTATCGATTACGATTTTCCATACCAAAAAAAATGATAAATTATCAACCTTCGATGAGAAAAATCAAGAGCATGAACGTAAGAGAAAATCAATTTAATTGGTTCTAAATTCCTACATGGATGTTTATTTTAATACATTCAAACCGAATATTATATAAATTTATTATTGTAATTTAATTTAATCTATAAATTTAGATTCGAAAATTTTCAAATAAACTTAAATTTTATGAGCTGATATAAATTTACAGGTTTAGTACAAAAGACCCTGGGACCATAAAATGACCCTTTAGGGTAGCCAAAGGACAGCTCTCCCTCCCCCGTGTTCCATATTTCACGGTGCAAAAGGTCATGCCCACTTGCACTTCATAAACCCTAAAAAAGAACAAACGTTTCTCACTCGGATTCTTTTTCCCCTCTGATGAATTAAAAATGCGAAAAATTATATTTGCATACAACTTGGACCGTAGGTTAGACAATTTAATATTTAAATTTATTCCTTTTCATAGGGGAAATTCGAAATTCTAGAAAATTGGTCGAATTTCCTCACCGTGCCGAAAATAGAAACAAAATATTACATCTCAGAGAGTAATTATAACAAAAAATTACATAGAGAAAATGTGGAAAAAAAGTTTTCTCAGATAAACAGTCTCAAAAGCTTATTCTCGCCGCCGCCGCCATCATTTGAACTACTTCCCACCGTCGTCGTTTCGGACTCTTCCGACGATATAGATTCTCTCCTTCTCTCCACCGCTCTATCGTTTCCGATCATCAAGCAGAGATCAAGATCAGTCGTTTTACGTTTAACAACGTCATCAAAACGTTTCCTTGTAACAGAATCTTCCACTCTCGGGTGAGAACCGCCGCCGCCGACACCAACCGTTTCTGCAACATCCTCAAACTCCGACGACACCAAAACTCCGCCGCTGAATTCAGGGAGAGGCTGCAACGTGCCGCCTCGGAGCACCGTTTGCACGGCCGACAGGCAGGCGTTCCAATTCCCCGTCCATAGCAAACCCACGGCTCCACTCACGGGATTCACCGCCCGCCCCACTGCTTCAAACAAAAGCGATTGGAACAAAGCTGCAAATCAAGAAACAATATCAAAGGAAAACCCCAAAAAAGGCACTGATTTTTTCCATTGTTTCAAGGACTCAAAGAAAGTATGATAAATAGAATTACCAGGTCTTTGAGGGGCGGCGACGGAGGAGAGAAAGGACATAAGGCCGGCGCGGCCAAAGAACTTGGCGACGAAGACGGTGGCGTGTGCTTGTGCTTGAGGATTGTCTATACATTGCAAGCTTTGTCTAAGAATGCAATTTTCACTGCATCCTTTTCGTAGAACTCTGCAGCCATTGCAACTCATTTTGAGAGAACTTTCAGCATAAGGAGGAGGAATAAAAATGGGTTTTTCTGGGCTGAAAAGATTGATGGGAAAGGAAAGATTGAAGCCAAGAAACAAAGGGTCTGGTAACCAGGGCAATATATAGAGAAAGAGAGTCGTGTGGAGGGTGATAAATTGATGGGTTTAATATTACTTTACTCCCTGTATTATTTTTAATTTTACAATTTGGTTCTTTACTTTTCTTTTGGTGCATTATTTTAAGATTCAGAAATATGATCTAGAAATTAAACTTCGATTGATAACATCAGGGTGAAGCTAAAAAGGTGGCAAGAGTCTTAATCGTCCTAAAATAGTAAAATTGTATATGAATCTTTCTAAAAATTATAAATTGATATACAATAAGAATGTATTTTATTAATATAAGACTGCCAAAATATTTATAAAATTATAAGTTTATACAATAATGAATTTGTACTGATCTGATAATTTTATTCGGTTTTTCCATTTGAATGACACATAATCAAATTTAATAGAAATCAGTTAAAAATAATATTACCAATTGGATTTCCAATATTATATTAGATAAGTAAAGAGACTAGATTATAAAATTGTAAAGAGTTTATGGACTTAGCGAAGAATTAGACATAAATTGATGATATTAGATGTGGCTAGGTAACCATGGTTAACCTTTTTTATCATTTGATAGGTAACCATGGTTAGATTGGAATTTAGGGGGAAGTAATGATGATATGGTGTTTTCGGTGGGGATTTGGGGGTTCCAAAGAAATGGGTGAGAGAGGCGCCTCCGGTTCTCCGCGGATGGGAAAGATTGGGGAGATGTACGAGAAAACTGGCTTAGTCGTTGGATTATGTGTCGTGGATGTCTATGACCGTAGATTCTTTCCTTGTCTTTTTTACTCTCAAGTCAATGTTTTATTTAGTTCACATAAATATTATATCATATGCATTAATATAAAATTTAAATTCTTAAATAAAATATAACTACATCTTAACACAAATAAATTTTATTTTATTGATGAGAATAAATTTATCTTGTGAATTATTAACAGTTTTTTTTATTAAAATTATTAACAAATTTTTTTATTTAGGTGGAGAATAACAATTGATGAAAGAACGATTTTAGTCTATATTTATCTTGCAAAGAGAGTTGATCATGAAAAAAAATTATGTATTGAGGTTATAAAGGCCTCCATTCTCTTCTCACTTATACCTATTGAGTATTTATAGTACTTCTAACTAGTCATGTGGACCTATTAGAAATTGATTTAGGGGATGTTTGTTTGCCTCTTAATGAAATCATTCAGCGCTAAATGTATAACCGTTCAGCATTCAGCGCGTTTGTTTCGCACCTCTGAATGATTCAGCAAAACAGTGCTGAATGATTCAGCACAGAAGTACATTCTAAATGATTCAGAGCCATTATCAAGCAGCATGTCACATTCATAGCTAATTCATACAGAGCCTCTGAATCATTCAGCATTTGAATCATTCAACGCTTAATCATTATGAAGTAAACAAACAACCCCTTAGTCATCAAATCTTAATTTCCGTTTTTATTGGTTATATGGACCTATTAGAAATCTTATTTATCAAACGTGGTAGGCTCGGAGATTGAACTCGTGCCCGAAGGATGTGGACTCTTTGAAAATTTTGATAATTGAATGGATCTATATGAAAACCTCGAGTAACAAAAAAATTTATAATTTTTGAAGATTATTCTTCAAAGAAATGAATAAAAAATAATTAATTCTTGGAATGATTAAATGGATTTAATTAAACAACTAAACCGTTGTTCCCAAACATAAAAGACAGGTAAGAAGTTAGATAGGGATAAGGTTAATGTAAGGAGAAGATAGGATCAAAGTGGGCTGTACTTACAAAGCGCGGAAACTAGGAAGGAAATAGAAGGTGTGATGTGAGAAGGACGAAGATGACGATGAGGATGCTAAACCTACCGACACATCGAAGTCATAGTCGCCCACCTCCTCCACCACGGTGGCATCTTTATCCCATCCTCACTTTGGTTCGGTCCACATCAAAACATTGTAAATTCAACACAACAAATATGTCTCCCTCAATGTCACGACCAAATGAAAAAAAAATATTCTTTTATTATTTTGTTGGACCAAGAATGAGATTCTAATCCATAACCATTGGCTCAACTCGCCATTGGCTAGGCAATAATAAATTAATCGAGTTCGAGTCACTATGGGAAGAGAGTTAGTGGGTTGAACTTATTTGGAACCGCACAAAGAAGGGCGTTACGTTGAGGTGGGGGAGTGGGTGACGTTTTCAGGTCTGGTGCTTTTCCTTCGCAGCACACAAAAGTTGTTCTTTTAATCTCCAAGTGTCCCTTCCATCGAATCGAAGGACAAATGAGTTTTAGGGTCAGTTTTTAGTTTCTGCCCTCTCCATCAATCTGAGGAATAAAATTAGCTAATATTCATTATAATTTTATTACTCTTTTATTATTTCAAATTCTCATATTTCAAACATACCGTTCGTGTATAATTTTAGTTAATGATTAAAATTTTAGAATTCAAAAGTTACAATAACTAAAATTGATCAAATTAGAATATATGAACTAAATCTATTATTCATGCATAGTACGTGAACTAATGACAGAATTTTACCGCTACTTTTTTGTTTGATTGGACACGCAGCTCTTACATTGTGACATTCGCCTAAACTGTTTGCCGCATCACACTTTCATCATGTCTTCTCTTAACTGTAATATATGCGGAAAACATGGTTATGTATATTAAAAAATATTTTATGTAGTAGAAGAGAAAAATAAATATATATATTGTAATAGAACTTATATTACTGTTATCGATTATAATTAATATATCTTTCTCATTTTCTAATATTAATCTCAGCTAGTATAAAAAAAATTTAAAAAAAGTTCCAGTGTGTAAATGGACCTTGAATATATAAAGATAATTTTATAATCATATATAAATCTCTATTAATTGGTAGGCAATTTGATATTATTTAAGTATTTAATTTAATGCAAGACAGACAAACATCAATATATGTTAGAAAATATTTGGTTTAACATAAAGATTTTTGAAGAGAATGACTTTTCTTCAATTCAATTAGTTGAAATATAATTCCAACGATTAATATGCTAAAATTTGTGTACTTTATCGGGAATGTAAGAACTAACATTGCAACTTACCTTCTAAGAAACCGAATGCCTCCTATTTCTGAATGGTGTTGACTTAGCTTCTTCAGGTTTGGCAGAACCAAGGCTTTCCGACGAATCAGAACCGCTGTTCTCACCCCGGGCTGCTTTGCTTGACCAAATCTTTGTAAACATCCTCTTCGACTTCATCGCACCTTTCGTTTTATCAATGGCGGCCTGGTCGATGCCGTTTTTGGTACTCACTCCTACCCCATTGTTTAACCTTAAGACAGTTAGTTCAGCTCTCAGAGCCTTGAGCTCCTCGGATGCAGACACTGCATCCCACTCCTCTGGATCGGTTGCTGCTGATCTCGAGCTCCTACGAGTCCCCCTATTTGGATTCTTCAGGGCTTTGGGTAAGTCAGGAGTGCTACTGCCCGATGAAGCGGCAGCGGCCCGGGTTTGCTCGAAGAAGAGAACTTGAATGACTACACGCAACGGGAGCCTTTCGTTTTGCACTGCATGCTTACATGCATCAGCTGATAGTTTCTTGCAGTCCATTAACTTGCATATTCTTTTTCTCTCGCTCTTGCCGATCCACGGGTGCTCCTGCATAGAAGTTTATATAAGCCAAAGTTGGAAGTTAACTGAACTTGTTTACCTTCGTAACAACAGTTGCAAGTATAATGTAAACACCGATTAGCTAGCTATTCATCGAAAAATACAAGTTACTGCAAGATTATCACCTTAAGATACATGTCGATGGCTCGATAAAGTCTGTCATGAGAAGGCCGAGATATGTAAGACACCGTTTCAGCTAGATCCACAAACTTCGACAAGGGTAAGTTGGTATCCTTTGAAATTTCTGCAAGGTAAGCATCCATCAACTTTGCAACAATCAGCTTGGAAGCATCTGTTAAGATTCCAGGTCTTTGTATTTCCCAAATCTCACATTCTTCTGATTCGAATTCAACAGTCTGTTCTTGCATTAGAAACTCTTTCAATATTTTCTGCACCGTATCGACATCGTACATCACATCTTCCCCTTCTGCTGCTCTTATCAAAAGATCGTTCACAGAAGCTTCCTCCAGCTGTTGGCCTATTCGTCTCCGCAGCTGTTCCCTAACCATGTTTCCCGAGCCAACTACGATTGCCGCCTTCAACAGCTTCAGCAAGAAACTGCAAGATACACTTCCTTTCTCTGCAGGCAACAACCATACCATTGTATCAACCGTCGATCGACACTTTCCGACATCCCCAGAGTGGATTACGCCTTTACTAAAACCTCGCAACCTTTGGTAAGAATAAGCTTTCAAAGCTTCTCCGATCACATCATGGGACAGAATTCCTTTGGTTTTTATACTCGTTATGACACGCTTAAATAGATCGATTTCAAGTTCACACAGATCCTCGACCCACCAATCCTTTGGAACCGGTCGACTTTTGACACCATTACAGTTCGGATCATTCCCATTTTCCTCCAGTAACTTCCTCCGGTTATGAGTGTAGGACCAATCGACCTTGGAAACATCGATGCAAGCATTGGAAGCTATGGCATCAATGCAAAGACCGGCCACTTTCAGTTCCTCGGATAATGGTAACATAGATTTCGTAGTCTGAAGAACAACGATCGAGTCCTTCCAGCTGTGGAAGATGCTGGAGTTGAGAAAGATATCGATCTTGTAAATTAGGTTCCCTCTTTCGATGGTCTCATACATTCCTAAGTACTCAGCTGCACATCGAGTGGCAACAACGTTGTGAGCATTAAGGTTGACGGTCATGCCATAACAAAATTTGGCACATATCTCGAACGCAACCGGACCACCCGGAATGTCAGAAATCTGAACCTCATTGCAATTTTCTTCAATACCACTTACAACCAAATTTTGTAAGCGGCCACTTTTCGAAAGAAGAGGAAACTGCATATTTGTTCATCCATCAGTCTCAGAAAACTGAAGTTAACTTTTAATTTAAAAAAATGGGGCATGGCGGAGTCAAGATTGCTTGACTTAACCATACACAAATTTTACCTGAACTAGAAGCAAAGGCATACCTTGTGCAGATAAAACTTAACATCCCCAACCGTGACTGCAATATCAGTCGCTAGCTCACTCGCCACATACCTGAACAAAGGTAAGTAAGCGTAAAACCATTCGCCTTTTACAAAACTCACTCAGGGCCACATAAAAACGATGTGGTTCAATTTGCAGACCATATACCTTTTCTTTTTAACTTATTAACATTCGAAAACCGAAACTCTCTGAATTGCTCTACACAATACGCAACACCAGTATGGTACTGCGAATTCACAATAGTTAGATTTTACAAAACCAGCAACCTATACCAGAGTACTGTCTATGGTATATCAACCGGATTATGCAGCGGAATTAATACTTGTGATGTCCGCATCGCTGTGACTTTTAAGCTACAAAGTGACAATTACCGGATTTGTTTAACATAATGTATAGGCTATGCACAATCAAAATTTTTGCTGAAAGCAAATTCCAAAGAGTCAAAGCAAATAGTTCTTCAGGTTCATTCGACAAGGCTCCCAGAGATCTCACCTCACGTTGTTCCCGTCGCTTCGAAACGTATCCTGCTTCGATCCGAGCTTCATAAACTTCATGTTGTCAAACCAAAAGATCTCCTTCCTTCCCACTGAAACCTGAAAAATATGATACCACACAATCACCAACTCACATAATATGCAATGAAAAACACACAACCCCAAACCGAGAAAAACTTGCCAGAAACAGTAAGGGAATATACCCCAAATGTGGGGACCGAGTTTCTGAGTTCAACCAGGCTTTATGTGATTCAAGATGAGATTTTTTTTAACAATTTAACAAATATATAATTGGCAAGATGGGATTTTTAAGTAATAATTTGAGAAAAGAGAGCCATGAGAAGCAGTTGTTTCCTTTGTTGATGGCAAACCCCACCGAGTCAGGTGGTACCGAGTCAGCTTAGGGGGGACATAAACGACAAACTCATTACACTAAATAATTCCCATAAACACCAATCTGAGATACACTAATCCATATAAAGTTCCATTTATTTTTTTCAAGTTCAAATCTGGGAATCCTGCAATGAGAAAACAGCATCTTGGTAACAGTTGAAGACATCACCAAAACGGTAGACAACAAGCATCAACCTTTATTATTTTTTTATAAAAAAAGTATGGGAATAAATGCAAAAAGTATCAATAACAATACCACCCACAAAGTTAAAATCTGAGGAATCAGCCAGAATATATTCATAGAGATCCAACATTTTTAAAAAAGAAAGATGAGATTTTTATGTTTTAGACTTTTTGAACCCCTAAAAGTGTACAAGACAATGCCCCAAGAGCCACTCTCCGTGTAAACCCAAACAAAATCCAAGGCAGACCCTTTTAGCAAGGTAACAAGCAAATCCCCATAAGAACATGTAAAAGACTCGAATGGAAAAAACAGAGCTTACCCAGAAATTTAAACCACCATCGTGACCAGAAACTAAAAAGAAAGAACTTTAAAGTACCCCTCGGTTAATCAAAGAGGCATGTTATTTTTTGTAAGTTCTTTTTTTTTTGGGCGGGGGGTGGGGAAGACAAAAATGTACTGGTAATACTATGAGTTTCCTAATCAATGGAAACAGATAAAAGTTTAGGTTTGTTGTTGCTTGGGGTGTTTGTCTTTAGGTTAGGGGGTGCCATTAACAAGCTCAACGTCTACCTCAGTAATGCACGCCAACGCTGTCACTCAGCTTCGCTGTTTGTTGTTGCCACCCTCTTTTATATATGGCTATAATACACTGCTAGTCCAAAGTTCTAGGTTCCTTGGATTAAGGTTACCAAACTTTTGAAATTTATAATAAACTTATTAAACCTTTTAGTTTGTTTTTATTATGATCATTATCATCCGCAATTGTTAAAATAAATTGTTATGACATGTTAAACTATATTTGTTAAATGGTTAAAATTATCTCAAAGATTAAATGAATTGTTACTGTTTTAAAGATCACAGTTCGAGCACTAATGACTATAACATGATGATTGAGCATTTATCATCAAATAATTGAGAGTATTTAAAATAAATAATATTTTGTAATCTCCTTAATTTAATAAAAATTATATTTATTATTGTGATAATTTATTTAGCTTTTGATCTCCATAGTTATTGAATAGTTTTCTTTTCTCCATCATTAAATGTGGGTTCTCTTTATTTGCGCCCTAATTTATCTGTATTGATCTCTATCCTTATACCGTGGGGCTGTAGATAAACTGCACAATTTTCCTAATTAGAAATTCACGATTTTAATTCCAAAAATAAATCAAAATGAAGAAGACGTGTGGTCTTTTTCATTGCTGTAATATCATGACCAGAACAGAGTGGGGAAAAGTTGGTTTGAGATAGCAGGTCAATATCTGTGTGCATGACATTCACTGGGAATCCAATTTGCCAAAGATAGCTCTCACTACGGATGGCAACAGGTCGGGTTTTTATCGACCCGATCGGACCAAAAAATATATCTTCTCCACTCAATTTAAAAATTTTATATCCTTCACCTAACCCGATTCGAAAAATATATGCTCTCTATTCAACTCTGACCTGACCTGAATTTTTAGAGTAAAAATCCGATCGATCCAACCTGATTTGATATAAAATAAAGACTTAAAAATAATAATTTTTTAAAAAAGAATTACACTATTATCATCGGGTCGAGTCGGGACGGAGTTAAAATCATTAAATATTATATCAAATTTCAATGGAAAAAAATGAGTATGCATTGTTATTAACATTTTTTCACCATTACAGTCTTTAAATGGGTTCATAATCATTTAATAAACTTTAATCTATACGAACCAAAGGGAAAACAAATCAAATAACTGTCAAGAAGATAAATACTAGAATCACGGAAATATTATTAGAAAGAGCGCACATAAACAGAACTGGAAATGAAGTCTTGATTGTTAAACCCAGAACAAAGCAAAATGCATAATTTAACACACGCTACTTAAAGAAAGAGGACCAAGGACCAACCACTAATTTCTCGTAGCCCGAATTAGCAATTATATAATATTACTGCAACGGGTGTTAATCAACCTAATAATTAAAATTTTAAACTTCCGAATCGATTTGGGTGATGCAGCGGTACCGGTGGTAGAAGCCATGGTAGCCTTGGTGTTAATTGACCAATTAATGGCACAACATGCACAATGTAACCTTTTCCCCATCATTTCGGACTTACAAGTACCGTTGCAGTAAAAAATTGCAAGGCAAGAACCTGGTCGAGAGTTACAGTGTCATGGTCAACTAAACCATCTGGAAGCACCTGATGAACTTGTGAGACATATGCAAGAACCTGAAAGACAAGACAAAAAACGTTTAACTCTTTCCTATGGATTTTCTTAGCAATAGCACCAGGGAAACTCTTCCTATGGTTTCCCTTGCAGCCACCTCCCTTCAATTACAACTCCAAATTTACAGATATGCGTTTCTTTACAAAACTTGGGTTGAATTTGATGCTAAAAAGTGTTTACCTGCACCTCCCGGACATCGTATTTCGTATCGTAAGTAAAATCGGCATGAGACGGTCGATAAGCCATTGACATTTCCTTGTAATTAATCCTGTAAGCAGAATGATGTCTCCTATAAGAACAACCCAAGGATTGTTCGATTCGACTTCATTTTACACTAGAAAAAATAGAATACTCACATCTCCTATCTCATCAGTGTTTGGTACAAATACATGGATCGGTGTTCCAGTAGTCACTCCTGGAGTTGTTGTAACATCCGCAATACTGGGTTAGTGACTAAATTGAAAAGTTTCAGAATTTGGTGACTAAAGTAGAAGAATGAAAAAATTCAATGATTATTGGAAATATATGATGAAGGTTATTTAGTAATTATTAAAGAAAATTAAGGGTATTATGGTCTTTTTCCTTTAAAAGATATATTTTTTCCCTTTTATAAGAGTGAAAAACGTGGGAAGAGAGCTATCTGGAAGCTTTCTTCTTCTTGCTTTCTCTTCTTCACGTGGGGCTTAGCTACAATAGGTAAGTTGAGTTTTTATAGTTATTTACTGTAAATATTAAGTGGATTTTGATTCTTTCGGTATTAACTAAGCTTAAGGAAAGCTTATATGGGATTTAAACAATAAGATAAATGTATTAAGAAGGAATTTGTAATATGAGTTTTAAGATGGAATTTTGATATGGTATGGTTGTTGAAGTTTTATGGATGAATTTGACTTGTCATCAATCTAATTAAGAAGTATGAAGTGTTAGAATTGGAATTAGAACACATGGAAAAATTGGTATGATTCTTGAATGCTATGTGGAAGAATGAATTTTTAAGTTGAAGAGATATTGAATGAAAATTTATTGGTTTAAGTATGTGTATGAAAGTTAGGAATATTAAAGGGAGTGAAGTATGAAGTGTTGAGCTGAAAATGAAGTGATTTTCGAGCTCAAAATGTGATTTCTGGGCAAGGGGAATCGGTACCCATTCAAGGGGAATCAATACCCCCTCAAACGAACCAGAATTTACAGAATGTCAAGGGGGAACCGATACCCCCACAGGAGGGAACCGATTCCCCCTAAAGGAAAATTGTAAATATTGGTTTAATAAGTTCGTTTAAGTTGCTAGTATCAAATTACAAGGTGTAGGTATCTAATAATTGTCTTAAAATGTATAATTATGTAGATTCAGAGCCTAAACGAGTTCCGGAATCATTGACAAGTAAGATCGATAAAAAGGGAAGATAAGAGATTGGAATGGACTAGTGAGGCCAGGTGAGTGCATATTAGTATTATATGATGTTAAATGGAAATAAGACTTGCGACAAGTCTATTTTCCATAGTAAAATGCATGAATTCATAAATAGAAGTATATATGTGTATGATTTATACGTGTTGACATGTATTGTATATATGTATTATATGGTTGATGTGAATGTGTGATATGTTATGATGATATAAACCATATGATATGATAATAAATTCTATGAATATAAAAGATAAGTTATGTGATAAGATCTTTGATATATAAATGAAATATTACTACGTGAATACATGTTATGAGATAATTAAGTAATAATATGAGAATACGGTAAAAGTGAGTTTATGAGAAAGGATATGAACTAAGTAAGCCAAGGTTACATAAATAATATATATTAACTAGATGACTTGAACTTCAGTGATATTATGAGCATATAAGATAAGATAGAGGAGAAAGATTCATATGCTTAAATAAAATTATGATACATTAGTTGTATAATGGAAGCTATGGAGTGATATGAAATGATTATAGGAGTTGTACGGAATTGAATTAAGTAAATAGATTAAATTGTATATAAAAGAAATAATAGAAGTAATATATTCAGGTTTATAAGTATAATGTAGGTTAGGTAATGTAAGTGCATACTAAGAAATACAGAATAAGGTAGATGATATGATTTAAATTATATTATGAATTAGTGATGTAGGAATGAGATATAAATATGCAATAAAACTTATGTGTTATATGATAAATATGAACATATGAGAATAAGAGATTAGATAAGTGACTTGGTGATAAAAGCTATATGACTATGGATTAGGTAAATATGAATAATTTAACTGATATGTAACTATGATTATTTGAGTATGTATCCATGTGAGTTGTTTCATGAGGTTATATGAAATATTATACTATATGACTATGTGAGTATATGAAAAAGAATATAGGTACATGCAAGTTATATCGAAAGGAGTCGTGTAATCATGCTTGATATGTATTACATGTATGGGAATATAAGAGAATAAAGCATAACTATATGAAAAGATATGATTCAAGTGATGTGAACCATGTGAACATATGAGAAAGTGTATAAGCTATATGTATTACATGATATATGTGATTT